CGTCCAGTTGACCCTCCACTCCAAAACCTGTGCCTGATATAATATAACACTCTGAAGTCCAAACTACACAGCATATGAAACCCCAACAGTATTCCCATACTAGTCCATTTAGTTCGTTAAAACAAAACTAGCAACTAAAATTCCTACCACTCCTGACAGCATGCCATTTAATATCTAAGTTCATGATGTCTATGACCATGTCCTAAACCGACCTTTCTGGCCTCCTTTAAATTATATATATAATTTATATAACATCCCAAAAATAATTCAATACCAGTTAGTTTAAGTTATTAAAACAAACTTAGTAACTTAAACCTTCCTCCTTCCTCGACAGCATGTCTATTCTACGTTTCCGTTTCATGATGCCCCTTAGGATTAGCACCCTAGCATAAACCAACTGTTCGAGGGTCTTAATAGGTTAATTTTTACACATTTGGAACCCCCTTTATTTTTCAGTAATTACCTTTAAGCCCCTGAAATCAGAAAAATATCCGAAAACGTAAAAAAAAAAACCACTTACTGGGCAATTTCAAAAGAGGAGCCGGCTCCACAAAAGTTTGGAGCCTGCTCTACCCTCTTGGAGCCACCTCCACAAGAGTGTGGAGCCTGCTCCACTTCAATGGAGCCGGCTCCATTGAAGGGTGGAGCCTCATCCACTCTCTCAGCCTCCGTTTTTCCTTCTCTGTTTCCTCTGTTTGCCTTCTCCGCTTCCGGCAAAGCTTCAATCCTCTATCCCACTTTTGTTAAAGATTTTTAAGGTTCAATTTAAGTCCTAACAATCCTAGAAACTTCTCCAATTCCAGTATGAATTAATTGACAAAAACATAAACCATAATCGAAACAGTTTATGCTTCCTCCGTTTGCCTTCTCCGCTTCCGACAAAGTTCAACCCTCTGCTCCAGAATTTTTTAAAGTTCTTAGGGTTCAATTAAGTCCCAACCATCCTAAAGACTCCTCAAATATCAACAAGCATTGCTTGACAAAAATTTAAAACCGAATAAAACAGTTTATGCAAGGAACACAATTTCAGTTCACTTAAACATACAAACAGTTTAAAATCTGTTACCATGCATCAAAATTCTGTTTTAAAATTTAATTAACTTCCTGGAGACTATATAGAATGCACAGAATACAAGTTTACAAGAAGGAGATAGAATGAAACTTGCCTTTAGGTTTCGGTTTGAAACCTTTCAACGCCGTCTCAAGTTTCAGAATTCTCCAAGATCCTTCCTTCCTCCGATCACTATTTCATCCCTCTGTTACTTCTCAATTCCATCCCAAAGCAACCCCTTCTTTCTCCTTTAGCCTTACAGGTGATCTCTCACGACCCTCTCCGATTCCCTCTGCAACTTCTCTTTGTTTTTCCTCTCAAGATACTATGTCGTGAATAGGGTTTTCAACCTAGCAGACCATACTGTCTTATATATATATAGGTTCCTGTTAAACCATAATCCTAATTCCACGACTCATTAAAAGTCGGCTAACTAATCTTCAAAACCCTAAACCTACACTATATACACTACCATCTTTTAACCTACTTTTAATTAACTAAATTACATCACAATTAAATCATCCAATTAAAAACAAATAAATAATTATAACTACATAAGTCACTTACAACACATAGACAATTTCAAGTCAAATAAATAATTAAATAAAAACATAATTAGACAATATTAATTTAAATAAACACAATTTATCAATTAAGAAAACAAAACAACTAAGTCACATAATTAAATCAATTGATCAATGAAAAACAAAATTAAATTCTCAATTCTATCCTTTTGAAAACTAGGGGTATTACATCTCTTTTTCTCTTTCTCTTTCTTCTTTCTCTTGTTTTCTTTCTAGATGTACTCTATATGTATATTTATAGATAAATATATACTACATATATCCTAGACCTAACATACGTCTGATAATCTCAAACTTGGTAACTAATTTGATAAATAATTATTTTTAATGAAAAAATAATATAGATATATATACATCTTATTTTATATGTATAAGTACTAATTTTCATGGGTCACTATCCAACCCATTTAAGATCCCACTTAAATAGTCCAAGACCTATCTAGTTGGTCCATGGGCTACAACTCAAATCCATAAACAATAAAATAAAATAAACAAATCATTTAACTAACACAATTAAATCATTTAAAAATAATTCAATTACACAAACACATCACATGAAATCAAATAAAAATGCACATACAATTAGCCAAAATAAATTAATTTAATTAACTCAATTAAAATAATTAAAGAAAACAATTAATCAATTAAACACACAATTAAATATAAAAACAATTAAACAAATAGCCACATAATTAAATAAAAATGCAATTAAAATAAATAAATTTTCAGAAATTAGGGGTATTAAATTTTTTGGTTTTTCCTTGGGTCAACAAGAGAGAGAGAGAGAGAGAGAGAGAGAAAAAAAAAAAAAAAAAAAAAAAAAAAAAAAAAAAAAAAAAAAATCATTTTTCACCTAAAAATCAATTTTTTTTAAACTTTTTTTCACTTGAATTTTTTTAGTTATTTGTAATTGTTTTTAATCCATGATAATGGATATTGCATTTTATTATTATTATTTTATTCTATACTGTAATGTATTGTTTTTAGATTAATGTAGTGATGATTATCAAATGATGAGAAAATAAGTTATAATATAAGATGAAGAATATAGTCGGTGTGTGTGTGTGTGTGTGTGTGTGTATATATTATTAAAAAATTTATTTTTTTAGAGAACGAAAATTTGGAGAGGCTGCTGTAGTGTCAAAATTTAAAGAGCAAGCTGCTTACGTGGCTCTTGAAAAAATCGACGTGGCTAATTTAGACAACAAAATTTTAAAGAGACTGCTGCGAATGGTCTTAGTGGGCTTTGAATTTAAAAAATAATAATAATAATAAAATAAAATAAAATAAAATCTACTTGGCATTATCCATGTTTAAATTTTAAAAACAATTAAATTATAATCGAATGATGAAGGCCGCGGATCCATTCACCATCGGCGCCTATATATACATATATATGTGTGTGTGTGGATATATATATATGTATTTGTATATACATATATATATATATACATATATATACATATATGTATGTGTGTGTGTGTATGTGTGTGTTGGTGTTGGGGCGGAGGAAGAGAGAACAGAGGAGAGAAGGAAAGAAATGGGAATGGGTCGCTAGGGTTAGAAATGTCATTTCATGGTCAATATAAAAGTTAAAGGGCAAAAATGTCAATCTATTACCATTACGTATCAAACTTAAGGGAGTGTCTTTGTTTCAAAATAGACTAAGTTTTATCTGTATGTCCTCTTGACAAATCTCAAAAAATGTTATCGTACTTTACCCTTGAGATTATTGTAAACTATTGCACTCTTAATCTAAAAAATAATACTACCACAACTACAACAAAAGATCCCTTAATAATATTAAACGACTACCTCAATAGAGTCCATCTCTCATGAAGTCACAAATTAATTATTATCCCATTTAAAATGTCAAAGCAACCTAGTGTTATCTTTTTATCAGGCCAACTCCAATGGCCTCGTCAAAGGCCTTGTTTGGCGAGAGAGGGACAATTTTGGAATACAGTAGCCTCACGTGATAGTGGAGCCCAAAAGGGTGCTCTTGATAATGCTCATGTTAGCCAGTGATCAACCTAGCGCCAAAGCAATTGTCACCTTTTTTATTTGGTTTTTCCTTGGGTCAACATCAATAAAAAGAACATTTTTTTTTTTCATTTTTTACCTAAAAAATAGTTTTTTAACTTTTTGTTTTCACTTGTATTATTTTAGTTATTTGTAATTGTTTTTAATTCATGATAATGGATATTGCATTATTTTTTTCTTTTATTTTATTCTATAATGCAATGCATTGTTTTTAGATTAATGTAGTGATGATTATCAAATAATTAGCAAATAAGTTATTATATAAGATAAAAAAATATAGTCTTTGGAAAAAAAAAATATATATATATATATATATATATATATATATATTTTAAAAAATATTATTTTTTTAGAAAAAATTCGGAGAGGCCACTTCAACCAGGAACGGACCCAACATGGGACCAGTGCGCCCCCACTAGATATTTTATATTTTTATTTTACACTTCAATTTTTTTAAAAATTTATGAAGATGCTCCCACTAAAATTACAATTCGCCCTCATTGGATTCTTTTTTTTTTTTTTTTTTTTTTTTTTTTTTTGTATTTTATACTTCAAATTTTTAAGAATTTATGATAATGTCCCCACTAAAATTACAATTCGCCACCACTAATTTTTTTTTACATTTTCTACTTTAATTTTTTTAAAATTTATGGAAAAAACTCTACTGAAATTATAAAAATGGACGCACTATATTAGTTTGTCCCCACAAATTAAAAGTCCGCTCCCCTCACAAAATTTTCTAAGTTTGTCCGTCACTGATTACAATGCCAAAATTTGAGGAGTAAATGCTGTTTACGTGATTCTAAAAAAAGCTGACGTGGCTAATTTAGATGGTAGAATTTTAAAGAGAATACTGCAGATGCAGATGGTCTTAGTGCACTTTGAATTTTCAAAAAAAAAAAAAAAAATTATTAATTTGGCAATATCCATGTTTAAATTTTTAAAAACAGCTAACATCGGGCTGTATAACAAACGATCCATCGAGATATTCAGAAGTTGAAATGACGTTGACAGTCACACAGTGCACGTGTGTGTACGTTATAATTGAGTAAGATTTGTGTAATTTTGCTTTGGGTTTGGAAATTACTAACATAACCGGAAGTTCCCCGGGTTGCCGAAAATCAAACCGTTGCGGGAAGAGTGACCACCACACCACTAACAACTACTACAACAACCACTACTAGTAGAGCAAGAAAAAGAAAAAGACAACACCCAACCTCTTCTCTTCGTTCTTGTCGAAACTTCCTTTCTTTGTTCGCCAGTTGTTGAAAACGACACTCACTTTCTCTCTCTACTCTATCTCTAGTTTCCCACCAGCCTCATTTATAAACAGTTGGAGATGAGAATTAAAGGGTTTTTCCATTTATTTTATCTTTCTAGCCTGCTCCGCCCTCTCACTACCATTCAATCTCACTCTCTATATATACACACACACATATATGTCTGTTTGTGTGTGTCTATATCTATATCTATTTGTTGGGTGACAATCACCTTTGCCTCTTCCTCTGTTCTTTCCATTCCACTCTGTTCATTATGGGCTTTTTCAAGGCTGAAGCAGCCGTTTACAAGCCTGTGGCCGATGTGGATCTTGGCCCCAACAGTGATGAGGTTTATCTACGAGCCAACGTCAAAGGTTTTTATTTCATTAATCATTTCTTTATTTTTCTTTCTTTTTTATTTTTTATTTTTTTAATGATCATAATCTTAATCATTTTCAATTCTATTCAACTTTGCTTGGGTTGTGATTAATTAATTACAGATTTTACATTTAATATGTTCATGCTTCTAAGAAGTGACAATTGTAATCAACACATTATGACTAGTATCACTTTTTCTTTTCTTTTTTCTTCAATTTTTTAGTTCGCAGTTTATGAGATATTTGAATTCAATCTCTATATCTTGTTATCAATGCTGAGAACTGCCCACTAATTTTCCTTTCAATTAGTAATGCTGTTTACAAAAAAAAAAAAAAAAAAGATTTTTTTTATTTCTTTTAGGATTTATTGTTAGATTTGGATTCACTAATATGAATTCTTATACTATTATAGACGATAGATGTGAGATGTCTATTAATGGTGAATTCATATATGTTGTGCAGCGCCTCGCGTGGCCGGATTGCTGGTTAAAATTTTTGCGTGGTTCTTGGAGTCTCGGATTTTTGGACCTTTTCTATTGTACATATTAAAAAAGGACAATTTAATCCACAAGGTATGTTCTTTGTATTTCTCACTAGCTTTTTTTAACTTGAGAGGCTTCTCAACTTTTTGTTTTGCCTGATTTAATTTCTTCTTTGGCAGATACTTGATTAAATTTTAGTGATATTATATAGATACTTTATTAAATTTAAATGATATATATATTTTAAAACCTTTCAGTTTTAGGTACAACTGTTTGATTGATGCATTGAACAAATTTATATGAATTTAGCATTTAATGCAAATCCCATATGTGATCATGCTCTGTTCTGTCTCTTAATTTTATTTATTTATTTTTGTGATAGATAAGCTGTTTGGGAATTGGGATTTTATTAAAAATCTAGGAAAAAGGCAAAGTACATCATACTGGGTCTAGCTCAGGAACAATATAAATCATTGTAACCCCACCTCCAAATAAGTAGAATTCAACAAGGGGCCAAACTTATCTCCAACACCGACAAGCAACAAATCAGCCCCATAAAACTTAGAAAACGATCAATCTACCAGAAAATGAAAAACCAGCTCAAAACCAGAACACAATCCCATTATAAGATAGAACAAATTAAGCATCCCCAAGAATAGAGCTCCATTCATTACATAGAAAGATTTAGATCTGATGATTTCGATAATATATCTTTGAAGAAAAATTGAATCCTTGTAGTCATTGCAATTGACTCTCGGATCTCTCTCCCTCCATAGAAATTAAAGTTCTCCCCTTCAGAGTCAGTTTTGCCCAGTGAATTAGTCCCACTCCATTAGATTTGGCCTGATAATAGCCCCTTTAGCAGATTTATGTGACCAGATTCTGTTAGTAGAATGGCATTCAAAGTATAAATGATCTGTCTTCAATATTTTCCTTGCAAAAAACACCACTCAAGGTGGATAGAATACCCATCTGCATCATTCTTTGGGTAAGAATTTTACTCTGAATAGTAACCCACGAACGATTGTTTTGGAATGAAAACCAACCTAGATCAAATGGGTCAACCATATCACTTCTAGGTCTAATTTTATCCCAAGCAGACTGGATGATAGTGAATTTGCACTTTTTTGGCGGCCAAATAACCTGATTTGTAACAGAGCCGCAAAGCATATCTTCAGGCATATTGGGGCTTTGAGATGTATGAAGGGCAGCAAGTATAAATTTCCAAGAGATAGTGTCACATGCCTTTCTAAGGTCTAACTTTACCGTGGCTCTAGAAGGTTTATTGTTTTTATGGTATCCTCTCAAAAGTTCTTTTGCTAATAGCACATTCTTTGAAATTCTTCTACAAAGAACAAAAGCTACCTGATTACCAATAGGTAAGTGATCTAGCGGTATCAAGTCCCTACTTCCCAAAAAGAGGTCAGGGGTTCGAGTCTCAGTGGAGGCATGTGTGTGTGAGTACCAACTAAGAAAAAGAAAAAAGCTACCTAATTAAGGCTAATACAGGAAACCAAAGCTATTCTTGATATATTAGCAATAATATTTGCTATGCAATTATAAAGTATTGCAACTATAATTGATCTGTGGTTATTGTTGCCCAGACAATGACTCAAGAGCAGGTGAATTGAGTGAGCCTTTAGACGAGCTTGGAAACTTTTCGAGACTTGGGGCTAAGGCTTAGCAACACAAAACAGAGTATATCTGAGGGTTGTTTGTGTGGTTGCTAAATATGGATTTGGATGCTCTACTCACTTACACAAAACAGAGTATGTATATAAAATTCTTAGTGTGCTAATAAGAGAGACAGTTTGATGTATACTATGCTATGAAATAAGAAATTGAAACAAAGCATAGAAACTAAGTTTGCAAGGCTCAACAAATAAGGAGTTCAATGTACAGAGAAATTGAAAACAAAGAACAGGGCAATTTACAAGGTTCAGCACCTGCCTACTCCTTGCCTCTAGGAGAGCAGCCTGGGGATTCCCAAATCCCATTGTCTCATTTCTCTTAACCAGGTAGAGAAGAAACCATTACAATGCCCCTTTTACCAGACTCAAGGGAAACCTTCACAATCTCTTTTACCAAGCTCAATCATAACCTTTATTTGCTCTTTTCACAGGCTCAAGAGTAACCTTCCTGAGTGAGCATCACCCTCTCAGACTTCTGAAGATCACCTGACCTTTGGTTTGAGTTTTTCAGCTTTGCAATGGTGTCCATTTCTTGGACAGAAAATACGATAAAAAGCTCACTACAATTTCTCTCAAAAGATAGCTATACAATGAAGTTCACTCAATCTCTAGAGTAATGGATGAAACAAATGATTGAAGCTCAACTTCTAGAGACAGATAATTAAAGGCTTCTTCTGATTCTTAATGAAGAATTGAAGTCTGCGATTTCTAAGGTTTTCCTCTAATCTGTATCTTTGCTTTTTGAAAAAGATTTCAAATGAATGCTCAAAAAGCTTTTTCCCAAAAATGATTTTTGCTCTAATGTACAATGATGAAACAATGGTATGAGTGAACCTTCTTTTATAGTCTCGGTGAAAATTGTAGCCGTCAAAAAACTTTGAGAATGCTTGGAAACATGTGTAAGCGGAGCTTATATTTCATTTCAGTTTCAAGCCTATTCCAATACAAGCAGCCACCTGTTCCATATGAGCAGGTCTTGCTATTTTAACTTGAGAGCCTTTCCATGTCCCATCCTGTTATCCAACTCAGCAAAGGGAAGAGGCCTTCTACTGGTGCTACTAGACGTCCTATGGCCCGTATAATGTACTATCGATCTTACCCATTTGGCTTGGCCATGTCACAAGGATAAGACGACTTGAACAAACAAGTAGGCAGCAAACCTTAATCTTCACCTTTCACAGGTGTTAGACATAATATTGTAATTGGCAAATTTCGGTGTCAAAACAAGTCCAATCGAATTGTAATTTTATTGTTTGATTTTGAGTCTTGAGTTCGGAAGCGGAATTGAATCAACACACTGCGGTTCAATGAGAACATCATATTAGAAGAGGTACGTGTGTGAGGACACTTTATTTTGTCACTGGTGAGTTTAGGTGTAGGCACTTAGAAATTTTTCAAAAGATAGTTTTATAAAAAGTGCACTGCCTCTGTGGAACCGATTGTGCTCTCATGCAACCGGTTGCACAGTTGATTTTCAAAATTCAATTTTGAACTATAACTCACTGGCCTAGTGGAACCGGTTGCACTCTCCTAGAACCAAATTGGTAGTTTCTTTTCTACTCCAATTAGGTTACCTTTTTATCAAAATTTTGGGAGACTTTTATCCATGAATTTAACTTGTTTTCCAAGTATGTTTAGGTCTTCAAAAATCTATATAAACACATGATCTCACTTAGGGTTTAGTACGGCTTTTGCATACAATTTTCAACATTCTTAGAGAGCCAAGTTTGTGAGATTTTCTCAGTGTTTATTTTTCATATTGAGAGCATATATACTATATACACGAGAGTGAATTAGGATGGTGTTCTCTTTTTGATCGGAGTACGAATCATTGAAGATCCATTAATACTGTTTAGAGAAAAGCAGAAGTTGTTCATCAATTCTGAATTCGAAGGAAGAGGAGTGATTCGATTACACTTTAAAGAGGTCAAAGCATTCGCGGAGTGTCATTTGATCTACCAACAATCCTTCTACAAGATTCAAGGGAGTAAGCCTGAAGTTGAGAACATTGGGACAGAGTTGCAAAGCCAAATATTGTCAGCAATTGGTTCTTAGTAGAGTGAAGGGGTGTAAGCCTGAGTTGAAGTCCATTGTACTTTGGCTTTATACATGGCGGATCGTTTCGCTTGGGACAAGGTGAAAGTCCTCAAGGTTTTTTCAATTTGTTTTCCTTGCTAAAAATCCGGTGTCTCTCAAACTCTACTTTACTGCATTTATTTTTGCTTTGTGGGTCGATTAATTTACTTTTAATTTGGTAAATTTAGCATCACATTACACTCATTCACCCCCTCTAAGTGTTTTTAAAAGAAATTCCACAAACTATTCCACATAGCGTTACTCACAACAGGGACTTTGAATTAAATCATTGTGGCCTTATGATGAGTACACTATGGAAGCTTCTTATACAGGTTGTTGCATGCACAACGAGGAGTAAAACACACACAAACAATTAAACATAAAAACAGATAATCACACAAGAACACAAGATATATGTGGTTTGGTAAAATTGTTCTGCCTACGTCCACAGAGCGCACCGAACAAATTCACTATGAATAACATGGAAGATTACAATGGAGAACACTCTTTCTCTCAATCTCTCACTTGCTCTCTCTTGTGGCCGGCAGAATACAATGTCTCTCTCACACACTCCTAAAAACTGATATAAAACCGCTCTTACAAAGAAATCCACTTACTCCACAAGTCTACACCCTTTTGGTAACAAAAAACTTGTTAAGAAAATAATTCTCGTACACATCAGGCAAGTGCAACCTGTTTGATATAATACGACCTGTCTGCTATAGTGTGACCGGTCAGATGCTTCAAAATACCATAGCTGAGACATGCTGGACTGGTCGCTAAAAGTGCGACCGACCGGACTTCTCCAGAATGGTAATCCGGACTAGTGATCAGGCTCCACAACCTCAACAACCACCCACTTGGAGGCTGAAGCACTAGTCAATCCATTCCATCAACTATTTGTGCATGTTGGTGCGCTCATCTTTGTCTTCAAGCTATAAGGCCGATTGAAGCTACACACAGCTTCAATTTCTCCACAGTCAATGTCTTGGTCAACATGTCAGCCGGATTCTCACTGCCAAGTATCTTCTCAAGTTCATATATAATTATTTTTCGAAGGATCTAATAAATAATATCACTGTAGTCCTTTCACTTCCGATTTAGTATGAATATAGAATACAAATTGTTCAGGTGTTGGCAGGTGGGTTGTATGAGCTGTAAGGGCTTTAATTGTTTGTGTAACAGTTTTTTTGGTTCTAAGATTGTTCACAGGTTGTGCATTTATTTCGGTTCATTTGTGGCGGCAACATCCATTTTACAGTTTCCAAATGATATTATTATTTTCAATTAAAATGATTCGTAAATCCTTATCACTTCTAAGATCTTTGATTCAACACATCTAAAGTTAATTATCCTTCATAATTTGAAATACTGAAGTACAAGAAACATGATATCTATTCCCGATTATGCCTCTTGCTACATATGCACTTGTGCTACATATTTTGTGGTTTATATTGTTAAAAATAGTACAAAATTAAGATAAATGAAATTTTAAGCCTCCTTGTCAAACTTATCAGAGCATGTCCAGTATTCTCTCACTTACTAATTACATAACTTCTTCAACCTTTGCAGCTTGTTTCATTTGCAGAATTGAAAGAGCCACCTGTTTTTGTTCCTTTAAACCCGCATGAAGGTTAGATTGTGTTAGCTTTCAATCTTCTTCCAGTGACTTTTACTCGTTGTAATTTTAGCAACTAGTTTGAAGCTCCATTTGGTGCATGTTGTTAAAAATGTTTTTTTTTTTTTTTTTTCTTGGTCTGCATTTCACTCAGATAGTTTCTGAACTTTATTAGCTATGTATCACATTTCTCATGTAATTGTTGATCGATGTTTAACAGAACGTTTAAATCTTCAAAGTAGCCATTTTTTCAAGAGTGCATCTCTCATGTGAATAAAAATATATTTTAAAAAATTTTATTCTTGCAGACCTTACAGAACAAGAAGTGAAATGCATTGAGTCCAGCCTATCTCCACCTGAACAAGTTCAAATGGCCGTGGAGTGTCTACAATCTTCAGAAAGAACATTAAAAAATCCAAAGGTTTCTTTTTGTCGCCGAACAATATTAGACTATTCTAGAGCCTACAATTCAGGAGAGACAACTCCTCGAATGGTATGTCATTTTCCCGTGTTACTTTGCTTTTTGATGTTCTGTTATCTATTTATATATGTAGTTATTCAACTCTATCTTGTACAGTGAGGTTAAGCTTCCAAGTGTATATGATCGAAATCCAAAATACATGTTTGGATTTTATTTCTGGAGTTTCTTCTGACCTACATCAACTTATAATCTTAACTGCAGACTCCATTTAATTTTTTTATATATATAAACTGTCACGTATGGTTCTATGTTCTCAAGGAGGCTTGATTAGGCATTTGTACAGATTGCAGATCGATTTCTAGCTGCTGTTCATGAATCTTCTGATCCTACATTGAACATGTCATTCTTTATTGATTATAATTTGGAAGATATTTTAAGGCAAGCTACTGAGTCAACTCTTCGGCATGAACGAGGTACTTGTTTCTAATTTCAATTATTTATTTATTTACTTTTCACTTGATATCAGCCCAATAAGTTAAAGGGATGCGATTACAGTTATTATTAAATGTCCCTCTTTTTCATTTTTGGATGTCCCGTAATAAATATCCCTTATTTTTTAAAATGTCAATGCACTTTTTCTTACAACATTCATATTTCTTCAAAACTCAAAAGTTGGCACATAGATCAATTTGTTAAAGTTTAACTTGTAATGGTACATTAAAAAATCAATATTTTTATACACAATGTGAATGATGTAAATACTACTTTTTAAAAAGTTGGAATCCTCAAATGGACATATAAGTTGAGACGGACAGAGTACTTGCTCAGTTTATGTCCAACCAGATATACAAATCCCATGCCTTAGGATGACCTCAAGGTTAGTCCAATGCACAAGACTCCCGCCACTGCACAGTCTGGGGAGGGCCAGATGTTTGCAGCCTTATCCCCACATGCGGAGAGGACCGAGAGGTTGTTCCTCATCTCAAACTTACAACCTCTAGGGTCAAATGTACGCAGCCTTACCTTCAGTTTTGAACACGTGACCTCCAACCTCGTTTTGCTCCAAATAGCACTCTCTTAGGTGGTCTTTTCTGCAATTGCTTCTTTAGGCATCTTTACTCCGGTGGTACGCTAGGTAGCTCTCTCCAAGACTTGAACCGTCAATGCTGTTTTCTGAATCAACTTTGGGTTCACAAATTTCATAGAACCATCAGCTGTATGTTTTTCTCTTCAGATGTAATTATGATTTAAAAATAAAGCATACTTGTAATTCTTCGTCACACACTTCCACTCATTCTCATAAAAACTTCTATAGGAGAGCCAATTTCTGTGCTAGATGGAGTCCCAATTGCCATCAAAGATGAAATAGATTGTATGCCATATCCAACTACAGGTAATTTTGTGTTATGTTTCCATTGACGGAATTGTGTTTTCATCTTCTTTGTCTCGGTTCTGTTACTTATATTTCAGGTCCTGTCTAAAACTAATGATTGTAGGAGGCACAAAGTGGTTGCACAAAGTAAGACCTTGTAAAGATGATGCATGCTGTGTTAAGCGCCTAAGATCATGTGGTGCCATACTTGTTGGAAAAACAAATATGCATGAGCTTGGGGCTGGAACCAGTGGGATAAATCCTCATTATGGGTAACTAGCAGCTTCATAATTTCTACTCAGCAATGCCCTATCCATATGATACCAATAGAATGAGTTCATTTTTTGTAATTCTGAATCATTCACAACTGGTGTTGCCATAGTTTAGAAGTTCTGGTTACTAACAGAAAAATATGACAGGTGTTGTGTGTTGATTTTGTTACTATTGTAGGGCTACAAGGAATCCATATGATACCAATAGAATCTCTGGAGGTTCTTCTAGTGGATCTGCCGCTGTGGTGTCCGCGGGATTGTGTCCTGTTGCCCTTGGTGTTGATGGAGGAGGTAAATAGTTATGATACCAGCAAAGTGCAGGCCAAATCTTAATTCGGGTCTACTTTATTACTCATTTCAGATGGGCATTTTCGAAAGAGTGCAAGAGTTTTTTTTTCTGCTTTACATCAACCACTATTATTGTGTTTATCGTGTCTGATCACCATATCAAAGCTTATAAGTGTATTGAAACCTTCATGTGCACACATATAAATATTGTGTTGTAGATATTATCTTTAAAGTAATTGGAGTCAGTTCCAAGATGATTGGAAACTTCAACACTGTGGTAGCTTTAGTGCCCTCATGCAACTCTAATTTTTGTGAGGCTGAACTGGCTGCATATATTTAGGTCTAAGAATGACATGAGAAAAGTTAAAATTGATGATTATCCCTCTCAATTGTTCTTTGATTATTATTGTAAAATAAAATAAAAAATAAAAAGGAAAAACTATTACATGCGGGGAAAGCCACATTTTTTTCTTTTTTCCACTTTGTGAAGTTTTCGTTTCATTGATTCAAGAGTTTGCACATCCTACACAATAGTGTTACCCCTTGTAAACATAATAAGCTCTTGTTTATGCTATAACTAACAGAATAGTTGGTTCCATATGCATTGTTTGCTTAGGATCTGTGCGAATGCCTGCTGCTCTATGTGGTGTCGTTGGTTTGAAGCCAACGTTTGGACGCGTCTCACACTCTGGGTGAGTACTCAATCAATCTATTATTGTCTGCTCCAGTATTACCTTAATGTCGTAGGATATTGGAAGGCTTTTCTGGACAAAATTTTGAAGTACAATCTGTTTTTGTCAGTGTTCTTCCTCTGAACTGGACAGTTGGGATGGTTGGAATTCTAGCAGGCACAATTGAAGATGCACTTATTGTGTCCGTTTTCTTTATTATATGTTTCATTTGATTTGTATCTTCAATTTATTTATTTAGGCACACATTTTGATTTCAATGATATAGTTAATACCAGTTTAACATTTCCAGCTATGCAGCTATTAGTGCTCAACTTCCATCACATCAACCAACTACAGTATCGGTATATTTTTACTTCTCATATCACTTGGAAATATTATTGTTACTTGTAGAATTTTAAATCATGATTTCGTTACCTTGTTATTCACATATGCATCTTATTCTTTCCTTCTACACAGATTTGAATATTAGTGGAAATAATTGAAGTAGAAATTTAGGTTATTTGCAAATCTCCAAATGTTGGGACATGGCATTTTGGTTTTCTTTGCTTCATTTTTCTTCTTAAATTATTAATTTTTATAATAGTTTCTCTCTCTCTCTCTCTCTCTCTCTCTCATTTATTTCAACTAAAAACAATGGCACAAGGGTGAACTGCATCATTAAAATTTATATACTAACCCACTAGAAACATCTATTTTTTAAAAATTGAAAGAAAGAGAAATGTTTTGAAAGAAAGGTTCTACTATCTTTGCTAATTATTTTGAGATGAATTCCTTGCACTACATCTTCCTTCAGTTGCTGATTGACAGACTTTTTATGTTTTACAATCTCTTTTTACTCTGGACTTCCTTCTATGGAGAACTTACCAGCCCAAATTACTCTTCCCACTGCTGAAGTCACCAAACTGTTTATCTAGAATCAAACTTGCTAAATATGGAGAGGTTCGTAATATATTTTCTAGAACTCATAATAATATGTTTGGATTTTGTTATACCATACTAACATGAACATTGGTTCATCATATATTTATCTCCAAACTAATTCGTATGACATTGTTTCTTCTTTCGATCAATCAGTGGTTTAATGATTGCACTGATGACATCAGAACTTGCTGTTCCCATGCTCTGCAACGACTTCATGAGCATTACGGATGGGAGGTATTATCAAGCCAAAAATTCTTATATTAATTCATATTAAACAAGATCTTGGTGCTCTCCTAAGTCATTAGTTAATTTTCGAAGGTGTATGTGTTACAAAATTTCCCTCTAACCTTGAACAAGTATCAGCAAATGGTCTTTTTTCTCAACAATATATAAAATTTCAACACAGAGAAAGAAAAGATAAAACTTCTGCTTGGCAATTTTTGTTTTGGTGACTCTAATAGATCATATGAACTGCAATGGTTGTTTCTAACCTACCAAGGTTCTTATCTGTCAGACGGTAGAGGTGACCATTCCTGAGATAGAGGTGATGCGGCTGGCACATTACGTAACAATTGGATCTGAGTGTAGCACTTCAATTGCTTCCCATCTGGAGAAGCTGTATGTAATTCCTTACTACCGTCTATTAACATTCTTTATCACCTACCAAATTAATGAATGAACAAAAACTAGATTTTGACATCATTAACTTTTATTGAAATAGGAATATGGCAGAAATAGGGTGGGATGCAAGAGTAGCACTTTCTGTATATGGTGCTTTCAGCAGCAGGGAGTATATAAATGCACAGAGAATTAGGTACTGTACATTATTATTATTATTTTGTAGGAACATAAATGTGTGTGTGTGTGTGTGTGTGTGTGTGTGTGTATTTGGTGTTTGAGATAGAGAGCTAAAAGAATTGTGAAAACTCACCACCACTGCATTCATCCCAATAGGGGTATTTATATGTGTGTTACATGGAATCAAAAAGGCAAGTCTAAATCTAAGGCTAAATGTCAGCTAAGCTAAACGTATAATTAAGCGTAAACATATGTAATAGAAGATATGTAAGTATTAATCAAGCCTAAATCTAAGAGGGCTGTCTAACACTCCCCCACAAATTCAGCAGTCTAGGAAACATGAGTTTGGAACGCAGAAGCTCAAAGTGATGCTTGTGAAGCCCCTTAGTGAAAATATCTGCAGATTGGTCACCAAAAGGAACAAATTGACATGATGCCTATCAGAGAGAACAAGTTCCTGAAAGAAGTGATAATCAATCTCAATATGCCTGGTGCAAGCTGTTGGAGTAGGATTTATTTTTATTGTTGCGGGTAGTATTGTCCTTTCATTAGTTTATTAGTTTAGAGTTTAGTACTTTAGGGCTTATTATATTATTATGTATTTCATTGTACTTTTTATGTAACAACAGAAGAGATACGAATATATTTCTTGTCTCTTTTTCTCTGTGCAAACTTCACACAAGCATGGAAAACAGGATTGGATGCCATGTAAGTAGTGCTGGGGTTGTCACAGTAGAGCGTGACTAGTGTGGAGAGAAGCACATTAAGCTCATGTAGAAGGTGTCGTATCCTAACAGTCTCAGCACAGACTTGAGCGAGCAGTACTCAGACTCAGAACACGAACGAGAAACTGTAGGTTGTTTCTTAGTACTCCAAGAAATGAGATTTGGGCCTAAGAAAACACAATAGCCAGAAGTGGAATGCCAAGTATCAGGACAACCAGCCCAATCAGCATAGAGAAGGCATGAAGAACTAAAACGCTTGAGGAGGGGTGAAAGACCAATCTAAGATCCAAATTGCCTTTGAGATAACATAAAATGTGCCTAACAGCAGCAAGATGAGTGGTCCAAGGGGCACTCATGAACTGAGCAACATGATGAACTACAAAGTACAAAGGCAATGTTTAGACGAGTTAGATTTAGAAGCTAAAGAGATCCAACCAAGCGGCAGTACTCAGTATAGTCCGAAAGTGGATCACCCTCTAGGACAAAGAGCTGTATCTTGGCACTCAAGGGGGGTACTACATGGTTTGCACTCAGCCATAGAACTACAGCGAGTCTGGGAGAGATGTAGACTTGAGTGCAAAGAGGACACCTCAAGGCTAAGAAAGCCCGCAATGCCATCAGTGCGAACCAAGGGTTACCATGTCATGAAGACTAGTAACCATCCGATGGAGCAGAGCAAGTGGAGAAGAACTTGGATCGGAGGAATACCCTTCGGGTGAAGTGCTCAACGAAGCAAGTGGAAAGTGGGGGATAGAGAGGTAGAAGTAGTCTGTTGACAATCATCTACTCCAAAAGTTTAAGATGTTAGAGAGGGTGTAACTTCAATATTTAAATTCTTCAACACGCCCCTCGTACGTGGCTTTCTTTTGATCTAACACATGTTTTAATTTTAAATCAGGGTGACAGTGAGGTTTGATCATAGGACCAACCCTGCTCTGATACTATGTTAAACAACCATCTACTCCAAAAGATTAAGCTATTAGAGAGGGTGTAACTTAAATATTTGAATCCTTCAACATAGTCAAAGGTGGAGCTATCATAGGAGAAGACCGACGCTGATAATGCTGAGGCAGAAACTCAGTACATTGAGGTGGAGGAATTGGCGGAGATTCAATGACACTAAGAGCAAAAGTAGTAGGCAGAGTAGGAGAGGCCTGCTGGGGAGACAGACTTCTAGAACACTGCTGGTGTGTCGGTGTGGGGTCGCCAGTTGTGTAGGTTGCGATCATTGGGTGATGATCATTGGTTGTATGGGTTTGAGTCGATTAAGGTAAATCACTACCAAACAACTAACACAAGCTATTATTACAAAAAAAAGGTTGATGATATTTTTTGACCTATATTGACTTCAATTACCATCATCATAATCATCATTACCTTATTCTTATGTAAGGCCGACTACGTAAATTCTCCATCTCCAATCTTTTCTATTACACGCCATTGCACCTACTATGTTTAACTTTTTTAAGTCATTTTTAATAACCTGATCCCATGTTAATTTTGGTCACCTTATTCGTTTCTTACCTTTTATGACAACTAGTCTTCCTTGTTTTATTGGCGCATCTATAGGTCTCCGATGTATGTGTTCAAACCATCAAAGTCTACTCTCTCTTGTTTTCTCACTGATAGGTGTCACACCTAATTTTTCTCATACGCTTTTATTAGTGACCCTATCTCTTGTAGTTACTCTAACCATCCATCTTAACATTCTTATTTTTGCTACATGAATGTGTTGTTCTTGGTTCTTTTTTAGAGCCCAACACTCAACTCCGTGTAACATAGTTGATATAATAATGGACATATAGAATTTTCCTTTTAGCATATGTGTACTTCTTTTATCACAGAAATGACACTAGCTTCTCTCCATTTTGCCCGCCATGCTCCGATTTTGCTAGTTATATCACTATCTATCTCTCTATCCTTTTATTTTATTGATCCTAAATAGTGAAAATGATTATTTTGAGTAACTATGGTTTTGAAGTGTTATCATTATATTATCACTATCTGAGTCTTTATTAAACTTAACTCCATATACTCTGTTTTACTACAACTAATTCTTAGTACTTTCAATTCTAAAGCATTTCTCCACATTTCAAATTTTATTGCTAAGTTCTCTTATGAGGTATCCAATAACATGATATCATCGGCAAACATCATGCACCATGGAATATCGTTTTGGATTATTTATTTCTTTTTTGTTATTTCATCTAAAATTATTGCAAATAAATAGGGCCTTAGCACCGATCCTTGTTGCAATTCTACATTTGTGGAGAACTCACTTGTTTCATCACACGTGATACGAACTCTGGTTTTTGTTTTCATATACATATCTTTGATACTGTATGTGATTGTAAGGGAGTTTGTTTTCTTTGTAGAGTCCACCAAATTATATCTATTGGAACCTATCATACATGAATCTGAATTAGTTATTGGATAACATGGATTTCTTCCTTGGTCTTTGTTTTATTCACTATAAGTTGCCACAAATTTGTTTATGCCCTGTATTTTCGTAAATTGGTACTATTGTACATTTCCTCCACTCATTTGGCATCATGCCTTCTTTAAGAATGTTGTTAAACAACTTTGTTAGCCACTCAATTCCTACATTTCCCAACGTCCTCCAAAATATTTCAATATTTCAATAATATTTTATATCAACAAACTACAAAAATTTACATAGAAATCTTTGAGCCTGAAGTTTATAATGTGAATCTTCAAATGACTAATTATTTGATGCTCTACGATTATCAAACTACAAAAGTTCTACAGAGAAAGGTTGGAGCCCAATGGTAATCTGGAGATTGTCAAATGACATATTAAACAAGACGTTTAGGCCCGATGGTGAATTGAATGGCCCCAATTCCTTTTTACACTATGCAGCTTGCAATATGAACCTTATAGCACACTATACAGTTTGCAATATTTAATTTTATTTTTTTGTCTGGACAAAGAACTCCCACAATGCTCTTGGGAAGACTTGAACCCTCCACCTCTCGTTTTGAAAGGAGAGGATATACCACTAGGCAGCGGGTCTTGGCGGTTACAGTTTCCAATTATAAAGCCTCTTAATACATTTGGAATTTTCTTTTCTTTTCTTCTTTTATATATGGAATTCATATTTGATATAATGCACTTTTTTTTTTTCCCCCCGTTAATTATAATACACTTGGTTTCAGCCATTTCATAAGGAGATTACTTCAAAGGTTTTATTTGATTTAAAAGCAATATTTGTTTTTGTGGGTACAAAACCAATTTTGGTGATATATGAACCTTGTAGGCTTTTGTTCTATGGACACATTCTACACTTGAACTGGTGTACTGTTTAATTTGATTAGTTCCACTAGATGCATGGTTTGTTACCATTTTATTTTATATTTCTTCAGGAATCGCCAGATGCAGTTTCATAAGAATATATTTGCCAAGGCAGATGTCATTGTTACACCCACAATTGGGTATTTCCTCCACCTTTTGTTGCATTCACAACAATATGTTCTCTTGATATTTGAGGTTTCAAGCCATAAGACAGAAGAAATAAATTAAAAACTTGTCATTCAGTTGTTAATCACAATTAAACCAGTAATATCTATGATGATTTTGCTCTTCTTAACAGGGTAACTGCTTATCCGATATTTAATGACGCTCTAAAATCTGGTGAACTTGACTACATAAATGGAGGTATAAATACCTAGCAATATTTCTTCCACATCCTACTTTCTTTGATTCTAAGGATATGCATTTGTGACCCTTCATGTTATGTTATTTTGTTGTTTTCAGCTGCGCTTGTTCGGTATCAGATAGCAGGAAATTTCTTGGGATTGCCTGCAGTGACTGTACCGGTACGATCTTACTTGCCCTCTTTTATCCCCCACTGTTACTTATTGGTGAAACTGATTTAGACTTTATGTGACATTTGACAAAGCGAAACGAAAATTTTAGAGATATATATATATATACACACTCAATTACAGCATATTTGTTAACTTAAATTGTTCTGGATAGGTTGGATATGACAAGTTTGGCTTGCCTATAGGCCTTCAATTTATTGGGAGGGCATGGTCTGAATCTACATTGATTCACATGGCTTTTGCAATGCAGGTATGTAGTCAAGCTCAAACATTTAGATGCCTATGAGGTTTTAAATTTCTCAGCGTACCAACTCCTGTCATTGCTGTCAATATTTAAAATTAGATTTATACGCACATATTAAACTGTAATGTGTTTTTTTGCAGATTTTTTATATATTATTTTTATTTTTTTATTTTGGGTGCACTTTACCGTATTGACAATGATATATAAAGGGTGAGAAGTATATTAACATCTTTTAATTGGTCACTTTGGTTTCAGTCCCTGTGCAACTCGGAGTACAGAAAACCAGTGGTTTTCTATGATCTGCTGAATCAGGATTAAGTGGCGGCATGTTCTCTCTTTTGTTTAAAATGAGGGAAGCAAATAATATTAAGGGTTCCGATCGAACATTTAATTAGCTAAGAAGTGTGTCTAAGCTAAGCACTTGCTGTAACAATTATGGTTTTATCTATTGCTACACGGATTTGTTCTCATTAACAGAAAATGCTGCTGCTTCCTTCCTTCCCTCCCTCCCTCCCTCCCTTGTCTTTCCTCTCTCACCGGTGTATGGAAGTGTGCAAGTGTGGAGGTAGCGTGCGCAATCACCTTCTTTGAGAACGTAATCGTCTTACTGATATATAACAACCATCATTCAAAACTCTAACAACATAACCCTCTCAACCATTTTAAGAGTATTTTAATTTCAAAAAACCTTAACTGCCAAGATAACATTGTCAATGTCACTGAAGTTAAATATGAATTAATTTTCAACATTTAAAATGTATTCCTCTTTTCCTTAAAGTTAGTTTCGTTTTCAGGTTTTCAACAAACCACCATCGATCTTGAGAAACTTCATTTTGGGTGAATGAGGAGGTGGTTTGAACACCCAATACTTCACTATGATTAGAATTGAACATTAGTATACCTCATCAATCCCCATTTGTCTCAATTGATCGAGGACCACTCCAGTGTGCTCAATGGTACTGAAGTTTTTTGTTTTTAGCTTTGATTAAAAAACCATGCATTATGAAAACATATTGTTGGATTCAAAACAAGTGTACGAAAACTTTGAAATTAAGATTAAGGATCATGAATATGCAATGCATGAGCCTAATTGGTGAATGTGCATCAAAGTATGAATTAACTTTTTAACCCTTTTGTTGACAAAGTTGATGAATTAACCTTTGTTGAAACTCATCTTCATCAAGAAGCAAATTCTCATGTAAGTTACAACTAGGACACATCTAGCTAACTAAAAATAAACTGAAATTACATTAATCAAGAGGGTGAGGCGAATGAGTCTTTAGGCAAGCTTATAAATTTTTCGTGACTTTGGGACTAATGCTAAAAACACAAAACGGAGTATGTCTAAGGAATGGTTGTGTGATTGCTAGTGTGGATTTGGGTGCTCTGTTTTTTAGCACAAGGCAAAGTATGAAGATGAAATTTACAAAAATGATTATTTTTATTAAGTAATATATAAAAAATGGGTAAATTGCACTGCCTGAGGTTTGGGCAAATATTACACGAGTAGACCGTTTGTCCTTTATTACTTTGACCTTTACCAAATCCGTTCGCTGTTGCGGGAAAAAAACTTTGACCTCTACCAAGCCCATCAATCCGACTGTACAATTAATATATGTATTTTGCCTCCTTGATTATTTCCCGGCTTGATCACAATAAAATATTTGTTTAACAAAAATAATAGTTTAGTAAATAAATACATTAAAATTATTTTTGTCTAAAACACATAAAGGCCTTCGAATTTACTTTGTGATCAACCATAATCAATATAAAATAAATACAAGTAATGATGGTACAAATATTGATAATATAACCTTCTAACTATTAATTACATAATTACTCAAAGTGCCGGTTATGAGATCCCGAAGGTTCTGTCAAACAAATTAAAGTAATTATTAATTAATAAAAAAGTCTATACTTCTCTCATGATTGAGAGTCAAGTGCCATGACGATGATAGGGAGCAATTGTATACGACGGCTCTCGTAATATATCTCAATCTATCGTGGATCTGGTTCAAATCTTAGTTAATTAAGAGTTATCCATAATTACTGACTATAAACTATTTATGATCGCTATTTATATTCTTGTATGATTGCCATCACATACATATAAATATATCTTGCAATCAAGTGGACACATTCAATTCCATAATGAATTGTAACATAAAACATTTGCATTCACCAATTATATAATACATAAATTTGGTTTCAGATAAGTAACAATGTGTATACAATCCAAGTAAGAATTTTTTATGCCACGGCATACAAATTCCAACAAAAAATAATTGCAACCATATATTACATGCTTTAAAAAAGTTGATTATAATAGACAACTTTTTGTCTATACACAACGACATTATTACACAAGGCTTAAAGAACATTTGCAACCATGTATTACAAGTTCTTGAAAAAAGTAATATGATTACAAGACTATAATAGACAGCTCATTGGGCATCAAATGTACCGATCCAAATCCGAGAATCCGGATCACTAACCAGGTCTTTACCCAAACTAGAGGACACACAAGGGTACTATGGTGATTTCACTCCACTTTAATGGTTCTAGAGTCTATAGGGGTATAATGATCACTTTATATGGTTAAATAATGCCTTAGAACCCAAAAGGGGTAAAATAGTCATTTATTACGTTAAATTATAGCTTTTAATTTCTTCAAGGGTAAAACTGTCATTTTCTAGGGTCATTATGTACTTTAATTGAAATTTGGGGGTAAATAGGTAATTATACATAAAGCTAGGGTCGAAAAACGAATATTGGGCCATCTATGTGCACAAATGGTCCATCATATCGTTTAGATGGTCATTCCAGTGAGGGAGTCAAGTTGTAAGATTATTTGTGCGCACATATGGTTCCCATATTTGATCTAAACGTTAAGATGACCCTATCTAATCGTTTCGATCATGACCAAAACCAATGTGATCGAATGGATCACTTCCCAATCCATCCATATGCTTCCCAAACTCATAGATCATGAAAATATAAGTCCATAAATATCAAAATATGCAGAAATAACATATATACATCCACCAATCATGCCGTTTATATATTGTTTGAAGTTCTAATCATACAAATCTTTTTTTATATAAAAGTTTAAAGAATCCAAAGACAAAGAATAAGGCCACCATTGTAATGACCCGGTCATTTTCTTCATTTTCCCTTTTTCTTCAAATTTTGCGAATAAATTTTTTTTTCATTATCTTTTCCTTTTCGGGTTCGATTTCCCGCCTCTTAGTGTCATCTCGAGTGCTCAGAAATGGTTTCCGAGACTCTTTCCTTTGGATTGACAACTTCCTTTGAGAATCGAGTCATTTCCACATTTTTTTGTTTTTTGACACTATTCATTTTTCATCTTTTCCTTATTTCGTCCTCTTTTCGTTTTTCACTTTTACTTGCATAACCTCATTTTTTGTGCTCGGATTTGATTCCGGTTTTGCATACGTTCATGATATTTAAATTCCATGACATCTACATTTTTACTTTTGTAGAAATGCATATTAAATGCTTACTTTCTTTGTAAAAGCCATGAAAACAAAACTTTTTGCAATTATCCATAACTTGAGGGGTTTTGGGTAATTAAGTATAGTAATTATTTTTCGTCTTAGGGACCATTTTACAATTAAATTTGGAAGATATTTTTAAAAAGGACCTTTTTGCAATTTTTGAAAAGTGTGACAAGTGTCACACTCTCATTAGTCCACTTGTTGACATTTGTGTGGAAACACTTTAATGCATTGGATGATGACATTTGGAGGGTGAGGATTCACCCACTTGTTGTCCTAGGATTGGTGCACTTGTTGGCATGGATGGTTGACAAGTGTAGGGTTAATATTTAATCTTGGAAGCTTACTTGGATTCATGACAAGTGTAGGACTCACATTTAGTCTTGCATTAGTGTGTGTGAGAGAGATAGTGCAAGAGCACCTAGTGAGTGGAGAAGCCCACTAATTTAGCTTAGGGTTTACACATTTTAATTCATTCATCACTTTCCTCTCAAGAACCCTAAGGAAGCCACCATTGGAGAAAAGCTTGACTAGTAACTTTGACTTCATTTTTGGTGCCCTTTCACTCACCTTAAAACTTTGAACTTGGAATACTTTTTGTTCCCCTCATCCTCCTCTTCAGAACCCTTGAAGGATCTAACCTAACTCCTAGTTTTGCTTTGGTATCTAGAGATTCAATTCTCTAGTGAGGTATTGATCTATTATTTTGAAGTATTTTTATGTCATTATTGAGTGTTTTATATGCATGGAAGAGAAGGACTTGTATTTTGCCCTTAAACTGTTTTAACTTGAAATTAATCTTGTCAAATTAAATATAGAATATGAAAATATACTCAATTAGCTTTCATTTAGTTTTGGTTTCATGTAATTTGGATTTAAAATGAATTAGTTATGAATTTTTGAAGTTGCAAGCTAGTTACTGGAAATTTGAAGCTTTTCCTTTTCAGTCCGGAAATAAATTTTTTATATGGAGGTGTGGTACTTCAATTGCCTTGAAATTTTTACTGGAACTTCCCCCATAGGTTTTACATTACTCAGAATTTTTTTACAATTTTAGAGCATTTCTAAATTTTTTTAAAAACCCAAAACTATCTACTGTCCATGTTTTTATTACAGCTGGAAAACATATTTTTAGATGATTTATTTCACTAACCTTTTGACATTGGATCATGGTTTAAATTTTCAGTTTTACACTCTCATATGTTTACTTCCAAAATAAATTAGGTTTGCCCAATTTGGATGTCAAATGAATTTTTCATGAATTTTCAAAGTTGGAAGCTACAGGCTGAAAATGTGTTTTCTGGGCAGAAATTGTTTCAAAGTTGTGGGGAAAAACTGTTTCAATTGGGAAAATATTTTGTTACACTAAATTGATATTATTAAATTACAATGTTTAAGGTTTCATTGGGCTTTGGATTCATTCAATTTGGGTTAGAATTGAATTTTTTATGAATTTTACAAGTTGAAGGTAGCAAGCTGAAAAATCTGTTTTGCGGACTGAAAATTTGGGGCGATTTCATTTCGGTGGTAATTGGGATTTTCATTCCAATTGAGGTAGGGAATGTTTTAGGATTATTTGTGTGTTGTATTGTGTGTTTGCCATGATTATACAACATATATGTATGCCTTGTATCAAATTTAGAAAGTAAGTAATTTTTATTTCTTTGTATAAGATTTAAAATTTATGATGATGTATAAATTTGATTTGAATTGTAACATGGTAGAAAATTATGCTTAGATATGTTGGTTAACATATATTAAATTTGGATCATTTGATTAAGAATTACAACTTTTATTTAATATTTATCTTTAGTGAAAGTTTAATTCACATGGTTGTATCAAGCATTAAATCAAGTTGTAATGTGGTATTTAAATAGGCCTTGGCATGTTCTCTAACATAGATTAAATTGAGGGCATTTGGAATTGCTTAAAAATTTAGAAGAAATTAATTAATTAGCTTGAT